CTATCAGAAAGCTTTAAGAAAACCCAACTTTTCACTTAATTTGGGGAAAGAACCAGATGTTAGTGTTAAGAAAGCAGGCTTCACACCTATGTGTCTCCATTTTTATGTTTTATATTGCTGGAGACATGTGGTTGTCACGCATTTAAAATGCTCTGTAATTTCCATCAAAATCCCTTATAACACACATTGAAGATGAGAAAACGTAACTTTTTTGGGCTAATGCATATGAATGCACCATATATATATGTGAACTAGCACCATTAAACACAATGGCAAACCTCTGCACATGCATTAATGATGAGTATTAAAACACATAAGTGTGAATGGGACTTTAGCAAGTCCTTGTAACTGCTAGTTCCTTGGCTGTCATGGTATCCCCTTATCTTAACTCAATGTCACAGAACAAGCATGCAGTCAGATCTTTGGCTTCACTGGTTGCTTGCTTGCTCTGAGCCACAGACTCCCTAAGCAGTATAGCCATTGAATGAACATGTTAAGCCAGGGAACCTGTGACTTCAGCCATGGCACCCTAAAGTTTCTGTTTTTAAAGGTTAAATCTGAGACTTATGTTGCAGTGTTTGTTTACTAAACAAATCATACTTATACTGATAAAGCAGTTCAGCAAGAGGATACTTTTCATTTGATAAATTCCAGAAATGTCACCAGCACACCATTTAAATGTGAAGCAAATCCATTTAATGACACATACTTGTCATTCAAATACAAACGTTTTCGAGGCCTCACAGGGTCCCCTTCATAAAGCTCAGACTGTCATCATGAGCTTGATGAAGGGGATCATAACGTGATTCTGCGCCGGATGAAGAGGACCCTGGGGTCATTCTGAGCCTGATGAACGGGACCCTGTGGTCATTCTAAACCTGATGAAGGGGACCCTGTGAGGCCCCGAAAACGTTTGTATTTGAATGACAAGTATGTGTCATTAAATGGATTTGCTTCACATTTAAATAGCGTGCTGGTGACATTTCTGGACTTCTTGATATTCATGGGGCCGGCCCATCCGTGGTCACTTCAAGCACCCGCCTGATTTATAGGTCTATTCTTTGACTCGGTAAGGAGTGCAACAGGACATATCTACTTGTGACTTTTCATTTGATCACACATGGCCTATTAGGATTCCCTTGGAGCTTAGATAAACCATTGTTCTGGTTTCCAAGCTTTGCTAATGGCCTATTGCAAACCCCCCACTGTTGGTTGGATAATGCCCCCTTTTCTTAGTTAAATCAGTGCTGGGAATTCTATCCACAAAACCTTATGCCACTATAAATAGTAAACATTTGCATTTTAAACAGTATACATTTTAAGTAGTCTTAATCACCTTCAAAACTGTCTTGATTCTTGGATAGATGGTTATACAGGTAGACAAAAAATGGGCTTCTTGGTGCCGCTGGGTACCCATGGTATCCCTGTCATAATAAACCCCCAACATTCAATACAGAATTACCTTCCTATGTTTAAATTAGCTGTAAACTGGAAACCAGCAATGCTAACTGTGAGCAAGTCAATCTTTTATCCCATATGATTTGTCAAGCATTGTTTGTTTTTGAGTAGTGTTATGATCTATGCCATATTTTAAATAGTACAAGGCTAACAAACATATGTTGATGCTCCTATGGAAAACACTTTAATAAGGGATTTTATTAAATAGACTAATTCCAATACTAAATAGCATATTATGGATGCTATGTTATTGGTCTTAAACTCTGGTGACAGGAAACGTAAAATCATGCTTTCGGTGAAGTGTATGTAAACCCTAAATTTATTTTTCCAGAATGTTTTGCATAATTTCTTCCTGTATACATTTTTCTTGCATAAATCATTTTTTGTGAATCTGTTGCAGGGTTTATTACCTGGAGGTCCTGCCAGTAACAGCATTTCCTGTTGTAGGTTGTCAACACACCGAGCCACTGCCTCACAATTAGACTCCTGCAGACATGACAGGCGGCCCAACGGCCAACTGAAGGAGCGCATATGGCAGGCTGACAGTGTTTTTGCTAGTTGAGAGGCAGTGGGTTAGCATTGTCAGCCTGCAACAGGAAGCGCAGGAAGAGATCAATCACACGCAATAATATTTCTTTCAGCACAGGTTTACTTTAAAAATTATTCTTCTCTTGTTCATAAACATTGGCTGCAGTAAAGACATTCTTTGGCAACAAAGCAAACAATCTAAAAGTAGTCACATTTTACACCACCAATACTCTTCAGCCTGCCATTTCCCTAACTACTGTGGAGAGTATTCTTTCTCAGTGAGCAAATCCATAGTCTAATGGAAAAAAACGTATAATACTGTTAAAAAGAAAAGGAAATTAACATTTCACGAGAATGTTTCCTTTCACCCTGCCCCTATCATTTGCTTTACCATAAAGCCCATATGCAATAAATTGCATGTAAGTTATAAAAACAGCTTACATTGTCAAATAAGAACAGTTATGATCTCCTTTCTCTCTCAAACCAAACATGCCCCATGAACCACATCCTATTTTCTGATGGCATGAAGAGTTTTCTAATCAAGGTGCGTCATTTCCATACATGTACAGTAAATGGTTGTGTTCCATGGCATATGTAGACATGGTGCTTACATACCATCACATGTCTCATACATGATCACTTTCATGAAAACAGGCTTTTCAGATAACTGCATGAAACTGCACTCTCCACTTCATGCCCATTGTTATGTGTAATATGTCCAGTTATATAAAGATCACTGGCTGCATCTTATCCACCATTTGACTATCACCATACATGTGCATGTAGCTTTGATGTGGCTTTTATCGTAGCAAAAAAAAATTGTTACATGTTTTTAACTGAGATAAAGATGAGATAGTGCCCAATGTAGTCCCAGTGGGAGCTCATAAATACAAACACATTTTAGGGTCAGTAGCATTTGTTAAAATACCTCCAAATCTGTGGGTTAAAAAGCAGATCAGACTAGCTATGAATATATATATATATTGAGATACCCCTCACATCTTTGCAGTTTTTACACAACAGTGTGCATAAGCTGTTTCTCAAAATGAGTTAAATGAATGCACACCTTAATTGGGGGTTATCAGCCACTCTTTTTAGAAGCAGTGTGCAGTATAGCACCATATATTGATTGCCATAGCATGTTCTTTAAGCATGATTTGCATGGACTAACATATGAAATATATATTTATATATATATATACAGTATATATAAAATTTATATAGGCAGAACAGTGATGATTGCATGCATATTCTAGACCAGTGTTTGTTTCTACTAACTTATGTTGTGAATCTGCTGTAATGCACTTTATGCTCTAGACTCGGATGCAGCATGTTGTGTAGAGCAATAAGGTATTTTTTCTTTAACGCAATTATGTTCGGTTTAACTTTTGCTTAAATGAATTGCAATTTATTAAGTAAAAGGAAAGTCAATAGATGTATTTATATATTGTATATTATACAAAAGAGCTCTATATTTTCTGCAAAAGGTCTTTAAGTAGCAAGTATGAATGATGGTGAACAAAGGTCTTGCTGTTGCTTAGGATGAGATGCAGAAATGGGAGACCCATCCATGTCACTGCATGAATCATACTGCATGCAATTTCACCAGACGCACAGGTGAAAATATCCTGATAGACTTCTTTAAAGCTTACCTCCAACCAACTTTTTAGTTTTAGATAGAGTGGGGAAGAGCCTCTATTTCTGTGTGTGACCCCATTAGGAATATATTTTGCCATACTACTAGCCCACGTTTTTTTTTTGCGTCCCTCATTGCAGGGATTTTTTATGACTTCTTGTCCTGATTGGAAGTAAAGGGAATCCTGCCCTATAGGGACACTGGAAGCAATAAAAACCTGAGGTTTAGCCCCTTCCCGCTCTATCTAACTAAAATAAAAAACATTTTGTCTTGTGTTGGGTTATTAGGTAAATTGTGACTGCTTGGTTAAGCTTTAATATACTTACCAACAGTCCTAAATGAAAACATCTGGGGCTTGGGCTTCACCCAAATTGGGTATCTACCACGTGTAACAAGGTGTTTATAGTGGATAGAATTACACACTGGGAGAGTTTAGAACTAACAAGAGATTTAATTGTTCCAAAAAATGAACCTAGGTTGCCAGCTTGTATGATGGCAGTAAATATGTTACATACACATCATGACAATAGACATTATACCAATAACAGGAATGTCCCATAGAGCTATAACAAAAGGTAGGATTGCATATTTCTCACTCTAAACACATCTTGTAGTTTTTTCCCCATTACAATCTTTAAGTCATCAAGCCTAAAGTACAACTGCCTCATGCAAATAGTCTAAAAACAGACTAGTAAAGTATTTCTCACATTAGTATGTGCTTATTCAGAATGATATATACTTTGCATATTCAATTATAGGCTTTTGTTTCTTATGTGCAGGAAAAAAGCCTTCTAAAAAGTCCTGCTTGGAAATGGCTTATAACAGTAAAAGAAAGACAGAGGTAGAGAAAAAGACAAAGGCGGTTATGCTGAGGTGGCTATTCATCATAAACTTGAAAAGCTATTTTTGTGGACCTTGGGTAACTGGGTCTTTATCAAATTTTGCACCATAATTTATATTTGAGAACATGGTATTTTAGGTATGGTGGCTTTCCATTGTCCAATTCCTTCACTGTAGTTTCACTGTGGTTTGTAATACAGCAGGATAGCAGTGTACCTAACTGCACCACATTTAAGTGTCATAGCATTATTTATTTCTCATACCAACATAGTATGGTAGCATAGTCATTAACAAAACATTTTAAAGAGTATTATGTTTGTAGAAGAAGGTAAGTAGAAAACACACTTGCGTACACATCTTTAAGTTACACAACAGAGTGATTTATCAAGGAGTGGGAATATTAGATCCAACTGAAACTTTGCTCTCAGAAAGATAACCATTTTCACTGCTTGATAAATCTACCTACACACAAGCATGATTGACAATGTATTTCTGCTATGAAATAAATGTGCACAATTTCCATTTTCTCTGACTACAGAGGCAAGTAATAGTAGCCATGAGTCTCGTGTTGGTCTAGCAGAAGGTCTGGAATCACGAGAGAAGGCAATTATACCACTTGTGGTCGTTTCATCCTTGACCTTTATTTGTCTTGTGGTTCTTGTGGGTATTCTAATATACTGGCGGTAAGTGTTCCTGTTTTTTAATTATTTATGTTTCATGTTTTAAATTAAAAGTTTAAATAAGTTGTAAACAATATTTTATAAAGCATGTACGTATTCTGTAATGCGTCACTGGACCATTAATACATGTACTGTAAGTGCCTCTACAAAAATTACAATCAAATGTTACTATGTCCTTCAAACACACTATGAATCAAAAAAGGTAGAAAACAAGCAGCTAAATGTAGAATTGAACCTAATCCATGTAAACTTGCCAAAGATTTGTAATTCTGTTCAACCGTCTTGTGATCTAGACTTCACTGCACCTGACTAATATAGCATGCTCTAGGACCTGCCCCAACCTATTACTGGACAATAAAGGAGTAGGAGGAACTCAGCAAGAACATATAGAAGCAGTGCAATTAAGTAGTCTTTGTTGAACCTAGGACTCCACTAGTTTTTATCAACAGTCTAATGTACAAGGGTGAGTCAAAAATTACCCTCACTCTGGCTGTAGAATTTATTTTAATCAACTTTTAGAAAAGACAAATACATAATTTTTCAACATAATCTCCTTGCTTTTCAATACACTTTGTCCATCTGTCAACAAGCTTTCGTATTCCCTCATTAAAAAATGTTTTAGGCTGAGTTACGAACCACGAATGCACTGCTGTCTTCACTTTTTCATCAGAGATGAATCTTCATCCTCGTAGGGCTGCTTTTTGATTTGCAAAGGATTTGCCATATAATCCACTGTCACTCATCTATTCGACAGAATCATTTTACGCATACGCTCAATGTTGTCATCAGCCATTGACGTGGATGGGCGTCCGGCTCCTTCTTGATGGCTAACACATGTGCGACCATCCTTGAACTTCCATCCATACACACTTCTTCGCGACAAAACACTTTCTCCATACTGCGCACAAAGTCTTTGATAAATAACGGCACCAGACACACCCTCAGACCACAAAAAATGAATCACTACACACAACTCTTCTTTTGTGCAAATCACAAGAGGGGTGTCCATTTTTTCTCGCACTGTAGTTACAAATGAACTGACGTAACACGTTCACACCTGCACAGGAGTAACTGGGGTGACAGTAACCTTGAATGGAAAGCGCTGATAAGACAGTGTGGCCAACAGATGTATAATAAATCTGTCGCTATATGCACTAGAAATAAGGGATACGCAGTTCGAGAGATGCTGATGATGCGACAGCATTGATAAATCCCCCCCATTCGTTTTTTAAGTTGTGCTGCATTTTTAATGCTAAAAAAATGTTAATAATGTGTAAAAATGCACAAAAACACAGCAAAATGTGCTTTTAATAGAATGCTAAAATGCAGCATTTCACTGCATTTGATTACAAGTTTTGCCACGAAAAATACAGTATAACACAGCATAATGTGAGTTTAAGTGTGCACTAAAACATAGCATTCTACTTCGATTTTTCTGTGACTTTCTACGGATGTAACACAGCTGTCATCCATTAAAAATCCAGCAAAACATGTTCAAAAACATAGTAACACATGGTAAAATGTGCACGGAAGATGCGAGCTGAAGCTTTGCTGTTTCATAATTCTATCATGTTAATTCAGTATGAGAGTTGAGTTTATTAGCCTTTTTCTTTTTTGTGTTTCACATTTTCATAACAAAATTAAAAACTCTATATTGTGGGTGAGTCTTGATGTGAGTAAAGTCTTGATGCTTTGCAGACACTTGGACTTTTGATACATGCATCATCAATCTCAATTAGTCTTGTCCGTTTCATATATGCAGATTTGGTAATATCTTACATTACTGATTGATGGGCACTACTGTATATCTGTGTGTTTCCAGCAGTCAGCACTTTCATCATTTTAATCAAGTGATAATTAGTAATTCACACTTAACGCATCAGCCGGATGTTGTTCACCTCTTATACCAAACAGATGGAAATACCTGCCTTCAAGAAACGCAAAACCAGATGTTGAGACATTGAGTTTATATAGTAGCATCCTAATTGATAGGGATTATGCACATTGCATCATCTGTGAGCAGTACATGGAATTATCTTTAATTTAACATAACATAACAATGTTTGTTATGATCACGTTAGTCATATGGATGTGTTGGTCAAGGAAATAATTAAATTGAACAGAGGAGCAATTTTTTTAGCTAAAATGTACAATATGAAATAACAAATCTATTCTTCACCTAATTCACTAACGGGCTTTTTTAGAATTTGGTGAATGTCACATTTACCACACACTTACTGTGCATTTGCTGGACATTCACCACCACATTTTTCACCTAATTTATAAAGCTGGGAAGATTACCCGCACATTTACCGGATCAACCAACATTTGCATAACTCAGCAAAAGTTGCAAACACCACACTACCGCATAGGCCAGTCTGATGTGGAAAATCATTATTTTGGCATGACAATGATAATTATTCCCAATGGAGACCCCACTTAGACTCATTGGCCTTTGTGCTGTTACTGTGTCTTATATTTTTTGTTCTATTTAAATACAATTTAAAAAAAAAAACATTTGCTCTTCCCCTCCCAGTGCTATCAACCAAGCATTTAAGGCATTGAGGCTAGTGTCCCCATAGCAAGTGGCTAGCAAGGGCCTCAGCTGGAGCAAGGTTTAAAGAAGCAGGAACTCTAATCAAGTGACTCCCATGGCTTTCTACTAACACTACTGATTGTAACACCTTATTTCCTAATATAGTCAATTATGTAACTGGTAAATCATTCACCATAACATTTGTAATATCTGATATGGTGTTAGTGTCAATAATGTGATGTGTTTCAAGGACAGGAAGCAAAAATAAATCTTCTCAATGGAGCACAGACACCATAATGGAGTGAGTACAAAGTCTAAAGCGAAAAGTGAACTATTTACTACTTTAATTAAACATACCAAAACACACCTCAGATGTAATCAGTAGGCCTAATTTACTAACTGTGAGCTCACTCTGCCTAAGAGTCTCAGCTGTATTCACCATCTCTTCCTAGCTAAATCATTGTTACTTTCTTCTGCTTCCCTGAGCATGCTTGTTTACATGGTACAACACATGAATGTCCAGTGGACCATTTATGGGATCTGGCTTATTTTGGGTGATCAGTATATCCATAAACATTAGCAATATGAATGATGGTCGCCAAACAGTTAATACACTATAAAAAATAATATTGACATGAAGTTACAAAATTATTAATATCATCGGTACAAACCACTGACAAACCAACATTATCAAGATACAAACCACTTTTTTTATTCATAGTCAAAACCTAATTTTCCAAAAGGGCTCCAATTTTCATAATATGTAGTTACGGGCTATTGTGAATAGCCCGTACAGCACCCCTTCGGTTCTACTGAACCAAATGGGTCCTGGGGCCTAAGCTAGACGAAGTATAGCAGTAATTGTAGAAAATATTTAGAAAGTTAACCTAAATACATACAGTACATACCTACATACATAAATACATACACTGTGTACTATGTATAACAATATTAGCTCTGTATGTTGGAGCTTGGATGAAAAGGACACGGTCTAGTCATTGTATTGTGTCCACCATTGCTGCTATTTTATTAAAACAGGTCATATACATGTAGGACCTCCAGTGCCGGTGCAGCAGCAGTCTACCTCCTTTCTTAAAGCTACCATTTCTGTCAAATAGCCCCTGTACCTAAACCTCACAAAATGTAGATGATATACTCATCCTACTACTTCTTGCTGTCAGTGTGTAAGTATGGTACTGTAGAAGGCAGATATTTCAGAGCACTGTATGTAGATTGAGATTTACTAAAAATATTATTTTTTTCACTTTAGCCAGTAAACTAATGTTCATACCCAACCCAATCATTTGCAGTAGAATGCCTGTACATGACTGGGTGATTCCAATAAAAATGGATTAATTGTTAACCTGAACAAGTACCCCTTTAGTAAATCAATCCCTAGTTTGTTTAAGGGTTTGAAAGTTGAATATATCCATTCCCCTAGTTGGGAGATCCTGTTTCCAAGTGTGTATCCCTTCATCTCTCAGGATCAGGGACATAAGACTTAAAATAATTTCCACAAAGTTTTAATGTAATTGTAAAGTTGGATACATTATTCTAATAATTTGTTTTCTTAGGCTATGAGATGTGTCATTAGAATGATGTAAAAATTATTATAATACCGGTAATTCCATCATTCATTTTAATTAACATATGTTATTGTTGTAATTTAAAATAACTAAATTAATAACTAAAGCGCTGCGCAAACTGTTGGCGCTATATAAATACTATGTAATAATAATAATGACCATTTTTATTACTTCAGGGCTTATTTGTAAGCAAGCAAAACAATTTTGCACATCGGCTTACTAGTGAAAGCTTATTCAGCAGTTTAGTTCTTTGTTTTAATGTCTTAGATTTAAATATTAGCCTTCAAAGCATTTCTATAACTCAGTGTTTATGTTATTTTTAGAAAATGCTTTCAGACTGCCCACTTTTACTTGGAGGATAGCACATCACCACGAGTCATTACCAGTCCTCCGGCACCAGTATTTCCTGTTTCAGGTAAGAGCTCCGATCTACTGTATTAATAAAGTTTCTTTTCTAAGGTGTTTTTTTTTTGTAAACATGAAATACTGTATATTGCTATGTGTTGATATTATAAACAATCATAATCTGGAGAGGGGTAGAAAATGTTTGTATACCATGGCCACAGGTATGTCTTTCTATGTGGTATGAGTATAAATAAAGGGACACAGGATTCAGTTATTCAATTGGGTTATACTGCCACCTACTGGAGGATTTTTACACTGACAAAAGGGAAAAAGGCATCAATCATCAGAAAGGAACCATAAGTCTTGCTATGGAAAGAGAGGTAGTAAGGATTCTAGACTGGGCAGGACTTCACGTTCCAGCCTTGTCTGCCATTCACATTCCAGGGGTGGACAGTTGGAACCACCTCAGCCAGCAGCGCCTGGCCACACATACAAAGCACATTTCGCTTGGGGCAAGGAAATACGTTTTTATCCCAGGAAATACCTTGTGGGAAGAATGCTAACCTTTCTGCACTGAGGCCTGGATTAGCATTTTGACCGGATCACCATCAAGGGGCATATCTCAGCTATTCCAAAGACCACTGGCCTCCTATTTATTGATTATGAATATTGTAGAGGGTGTCTTCCATGTGACTCCTCATGTGCAACCACCTGTGTCTAAATGGAATTTGAATCTGGTTCTGTTGGCACCTAAAAACTGTCTTTTGAACCTATCAGGGATATTTCCAGGCTTGTCCTGTAAAGGATCCTTTCTAGTCTTACACAAGGATAGAGTGGTGTTGAGGCCTACAACTTCCTCCTACTTAAGGGTGTTTTGGCCTCTCACCTCAGCCAGGATATTGTTCTGTCTTCTTTCTGTTCAGCTGGAATACACCAAAGCATATTTCTATCCACTGCCTGTACTACTTTTCTACAAAAATAAAGCATACTGTGGGAGGGGTTATAGCTGGGTGGACGCTGTTTTTTCTTTGCCAGTCCAAATACTCCCGTAGGTGACAGTATACCCCAGTTGTCTCTGAATAACGGAATCATGTGTTCCTTAATGAACTAAAAAACACATGGTAAGTATTAAAAAAAAAGAAGTTTCTGGGCTAGGCATTGTTTAGGGTTGGGTATAGTAAAGTTGACTTCAAAATTCAGTCAGGATTGGTGACAAGTTTGCCAAACACAGTTTGTCCTTCTGAACAGTGAGCCAACTTCTGATAAATGGCCTTCCTTTGTCCTAAAGTTTACTTTACAATGTATCTTGTTTTATTTGTCTCTGTATTAGTTTGTCCTGTGACAACTTAAACAGAAACACTAGATTTATATTTTACAGAACCTGGGGTTCTACTATTTGGGAGAGATGTCCATCATGTTCCTGTGCAACTGAGTTTAGATCATGTACTTTGCATCTTCGTGAAATGAAAGTTACCTGTTGCATAAATTGTATACCTCTAGAAATATGCAACCACCAATTATTTACTGAACAGTAAGGTTGTTCCTGACATTTGAACTCCGAACAGTGTACTGGTGAATGACTGGTGTACTGGTGAAAGTCATAGCACTCCTGTACTTTTGGCACAGTGAAAAGTCAAATGACCCGTCGCCGGAAACTGTTGACTATTTCACATTGTAGGGGAAAATAATTCCTTCCTGCCCGTCAAGGCCAGTCACATCAATTTGCTGGGTCAGAATATGTCCATATAAGCCACTATGTGCATAATATTAATTTCCATATAATTATCAAGTACTTTATCAAGAAACTTTTTTGATTGTGTCTGTAAAGAACCCCTTCTTAACTAAAAGCAAAGTCCTTTGCTCCATATACAGCTGATATCACCTTGTCCTTTGTGCAGTCTTTGAAATAAACAGTTATATAGTCATATCTGTATATTGACCATAGATCAGTGGCATAACTACAGATCATGAGGCCCCCATAACGTCATTTGCATAGGAACCCCAGGCTAGTGGTGCATTCTGGTTTTGGGCTGCCCTAGGCAAGATGAAACTAGGGCACACAGCCCCCCCCCACCCCCACTAAGGGCCGGTGCACACCTAGGTGACACCCTGCAGATCGATTATTTTCCAATGGCACCGGACTACACGACGCGTGGCTGTTTCAGCCGCTATTGTGTTTGAAAGGAAGGGCGGAATCGCGGCGGGAAACCGTGCAATCCGCCCGGTGAGACTGGGGTGCCATTGGAAAATAATGGCACCCACCGCGCGATCTCCTGATTGCAACTCCTGACTGTGCACCAATCCGCGCGGAATCGTTCACGATTGCTGTGCAGTGGGGTGTCGCCTAGGTGTGCACCGACCCTTAATCTGCAGGATCTCAGGGGGGCTGTGCAGGATCTGTGGTGGGCTCTACGGCAGAGCCCACCACAGATCCTGCAAAGCCCCCGAGACCCTGCAGACACCACAGCCCACCACAGAACCTGCACACCCCCCTGAGATCCTGCAGACCGGTGCAGGTTGTGTGGTGGGCTCTGCCCAACATAGACCCCACCACAGATCCTGTACAGCCCACCCGAGACTCTCAGGTGGGCTGTGCAGAATCCATGCTGGGCTCTGCAGGGTCCCTTTAGCAGCAGTGTGATCATCTTACCTGCTGCTTGGTCCCCGGCCTCCTCCTACGCTGGACTGGTGCTGCAGGACCTGGCCTCCTCCGCAGCCCGATGTCTCTTTGGTGACCCGGTGTTCTGTCGAGAATGCACCAGCTTCCTACAGCATGATGGCGCCCTGGCCCCGCCCCTTCCTGATCCGACATCATTCCCAGTCTCGCCCTGCCCCCTCCTGCTGCTTCACCTCGCCCCCTTCTGCTGCTCCGTCTCCACTGCCTCTTCTACCTCCTTCCCACTTCCTCGGCCTCCTCACCGACTCCGTCCTTTGACTCCTCCGCTGCCGCCTCCTCCGCCCATCTGCCTAACTGTTTTGGGGGCGGCATTTTTGCTGCCCCCCTGAAATCTGCCGCCCAAGGCAAATGCCTTTTTGCCTCGTGGCAGAAATGCCCCTGCCCCAGGCAACCTCTCACTGTGACACCTGGCAGTGTCAGCTGGGACAATAGTGTAAATAAAGTTAACATAAAGTATGCTTGTGCATGTCTCAGATCCTTGTTGCGCTTGTTGCTCGTACCTGACTATTTTTTCCGCTGATTTCGCGCGATTTTGCTCCTGATTGCTTACAGCTCAATATGAAAAGTCGCGCAATATCGCACATGTCGCTCAGTGTGAATAGGGCCTAAAGCAGAAGTGAAGGGTAGCTCTAACCCTGATTTACAGACAACTTTTCTGTTCTCTTGAGTTCGCCAAACTTTCTTAGCATCAACTTGACTTTTTTAGAAGTTCAAAATCTCGGGACCTTGGTGTAAATTCTTAGGCCAATTTTTCAATCACCCCAGGAAACATCCCGAGTATTAGCAACAGTAGCAATAATAGTAATAATCATATTGATATTATATACAGTATAATTCCAGATTTGTTAGTACTCTTGCACCCAATTATTATCTGACCTTTACAAAGCATTTAAATTGTGGCTTTTATTGCAGAAATATAAACCTTAGCTGCCTTGTCAGTTTTTAGCTGAGGAGACACACCGGGATTTTCTACCGCCTCGGGAAGACTGTGTTAAGCATGCATGGTTAATTTCATAGTGTTAGATGAATCTTGAAGGCGATAAATCCACTCCTAGATGGAACGGAGGAAAAGCTAGAAAAAAACTTACACCACAATCCCAAAGACTGCTTCGTGCATCTAAAGTCTAAAGTTAGATTTTCTTGACTGGAACCAGGTGATCAGAGGTGTCCTCAACTATAACCACTCCAGCCCCTTAATGAAGCAGTACTCGATTTGTGTTATTCCAGTAGCCTTAGGCTTTAAAGTAATGATGATTCCTTTAACAGATTTACTAATAAAACTGTAATATTATGATATAGTGTAACATTTCTTCAACTTTCTATAAGTACTCATAAATACAGGCATCATTATATAGCTTTTTTGAGGTTTGTCAATTCTCAAAAAACTCTTGTGTCAATTTTAATAATACACAGAAACGGTTACTATAGGGCCATCGTCGGCCCTATAGTAACAATCATTATCTTTAGCTCAGTATACCGATACAGCTCGCGGTATACTGAGCCTAGGGTGACGGGAGGACGCTAGTTTGTGTCCTCCTGTTACCCTATGGAGAACTATGGGGAAAAGCCTTAACCCATAGTTCTTCTTTAACAATAATCACTTCCTGTTAATTAATGATTGTGGACATAGTAACTAATACTATATCCACAGTTTATAAATGGATGAGATCACTCAGTATAGAGGCTTCCTATTCATTCATAAGAGGAGCTGCATAAAAAGAGATTTAAGACTCTCTTTAGAATTTAGATTTAGAAGCCTTTATGGTGCTGGAAATTGGCTTTGGAGTCCTCTCCAACACACTGAACCACACCTGTGCACTCTCTTCTTTGCCATTTATTCCCTGTCTGCAAACTCATGATTGACTAGGAGAAGTCTGCTACATGTAGCAATCCCCTGCAGACACATCCTCTAATCATTTGCAAGCGACATAATGTCCCTAAACCCCTCTGCATTTGCTGTGCTAAAATAAGTAAACCACTTCCCCTGCACTTGTATGCTCTTTTGAGAAGGACACTGCATGTTCCAGAAATGTAAAAACGTTATACTTCACCTTAGAAGCCTAAAATCACTGACAGGTTCAGCATTGGGCAAACAATTGGAATTTTTAATGACTATTGCTGCTTAGTAATTGGTTTGTTGGCAAGGACAAATATTTATGATTAGACATAGTATCCATAAGGCTGTTATTATGTGCTATGAAAAGTGTGCTCCAGAGACATGCATATGACACAAATAGCCTGTCTTGTTTTTATTATTAAGTACATGACTAATGTCAAAAATATATTTGGCTAAAATAGCAAATAATTATAATGCTTGAGGCTTTCATTACATCAGAGCAGAAGCACTGTTCAATTGGCACCTGGGGTCACTTCAGCTGTCAGAATACTGTATG